CGTGGGCGGGGCGCGCAGAGCGCGCCTCCCGCCCCGTCCGTGGAAGATGCGTCAGGTGCCCTGCGAAGGCGGGGATGAACGTTTCGTGCAGAGGCAAGGAGCTGCCTCGGGGTTTGGGCTGCTTTTCTGCGTGGCGTGGCTTGGTGGGGCATGACATGGCACTACACACCATGGCAGGGCACCTCAGGGCACGGTGTGGGGGTTTAGCTTCACACCCCAGGAGAAACGTGGAGCAAGGGAGGAGAACAGCCTTGCTGAGTCCCTGTTCAGGAGCCCTATTGCTCCCAGCGTTGAGGAGAGGGAAACACGCAGCATCCAGCCCGGTCTGTCCCCTCGGTCGCTGCTCTGGTGCCCACAAAGGTCTGTCTCCTGCTTCCCTGCGCTGGGGAAGTGGGATTAGTCGCCAGGGCACTCGGGTTTCCTCACCCCCTTCCTGCCCCAGGGTCTGCACCCACCCCACAGCCCCAGGGACCCTGCTCGGCTCCTTAGCTCTGGCAACGGCACCTTAGTCACTGCGACGGCAACGAGCGTGGCTGGATCAACGCGTAATTCAGCCGCTCTGCCTGTCTGCACGGCCTGGAGACCCCCATGGGCTGGGACAGCGCCGGCACCGAGAGCCCAGGGGAAAAAAAAAGTCATTTTGAGGTGGAGGAGTTACACAAAATTGCTTAAATGGTGTTTATTTTGCCTCAGGGGCACTCGTTTGTGAAGCAGCAGCCCCATTTCCCCAGGTGGGACGAGCCGCACGTCGGGGGGACGCAGTGGCCGCGGTGCCCAGGGCTCCAGGGGCGTCCGGATCAGCCTCTGCTGCCTGAACAGGACGGAAAACATTTGGTTTCTGGCAACGCTCTCGAACAAACAGCAAATCCTCACGGCTCCTTCTTGGCACCGAGCGAGGCATTTTTGCCGTGATTGATTCTCTCTGCGGCGATTCAGAGAATCCCCCCCTGGTTCTGGGAATCGCCGGGAGCACAGGTCGTTCCTGCAGGCGCTGGGGGCCCCGCGGGGCCAGGATGGGCAGCAGTGACCGGAGCGGGGGAACTGCAGGTGCCCGCGCGGGTGGTCTGGGAGCCCCCGGGGGCAGGTGGGATGAGCTGCCCCACGGCCTTTTGCAGTTACCCCATGGGGAGGCTTGTGGATACCCCACTGGGCAGTTTGCAGATAACCCCATGGAGGGCAGTCACCCCATGGAGCAGTTTGCAGTCACCCCACAGCGGCAGACTGAAATCACCCACGAGGCAGTTTGTGGGCACCTCATGCAGAGCACATACCCCATGGAGAAGTGTGCAGATACCCCGGGGGGCATTTTGCAGACACCCCATGCAGGGCAGTCACCCCATGGGGCAGTTTGCTGTGACCCACAAGTAGCAGTTTGCAGATACCCAGGGGGCAGTTTGCAGTCATCCCAGGGCGCAGTTCGCTATTACCCCCACGGGGCAGTTTGCAGACACCCCATGGGGCAGCTCGCTGTTACCCCATGGGACAGTTTGCTGTTACCCCATGGGGCAGTTTGCTGTTACCCCCACGGGGCAGTTTGCAGACATCCCACGGGGCAGTTCGCTGTTACCCCATGGGGCAGTTCGCAGACACCCCATGGGGCAGTTCGCTGTTACCCCCCTAGGGCAATTCGCTGTTACCCCCCGGGGCAGCTCGCAGACACCCCGCGCAGAGCCGCGCGGGTGGCGGCCCCCGCGGGCCCCCCCGTGTCGGCGGCG